TCTCTCTCTCTCTCTCTCTCTCTCTCTCTCTCTCTCTCTCTCACACACACACACACACACACACACACACACACACACACACACACACACGTGTGAGGACTGAGCCCTCAACGGGGCCTTGCCGACATGCATATGTTCTGGGCATAGGCCCCCAGCAAGCCTCGTGCCTGCCGTAAGTGAAGGCGGGCCAGAATATCCACGAGAAACCTTCATACAACATTTCACAAGGTGGGCCGCACGCCAGTTGGTTGGAGTGCATAGTGAGCATGTTACATGCTGTGCCTGCACACGAGGGCCATTTTCCAGCCCCTGCGTCCCTCAGGCTGAAAGCCTGAAATTCAGGCTTAAAGCCTGAAAACCAGGGCCTACAGGCCCCGTGACTGTTCCGCCCGAAAGCCTGAAAACAGTGGCCTACAGTCCCTGTGTCGTTTCAGACGAAAAATGGCAACAACCTTTTTAGCCTGAAACGAAGGGCCATTTTCGGTCGTTCATCAGAACGACCGGCCCTGAAACTCAGGCACCGAACCAGGGTTTCGGGAACAGGCTATTCTTAGCCTGTTTCCCACGCCAGCCTCACCAGCTGCTGCAGCCAGCCCGTGACACACTTCGGCATTGGCAAGTGCAGCCTCCTCGGCCTGGCTCACCCTTCAGGCAGTCAGGAGGCAGGCCGAGGTAGTACATAGGGACTTCCCATGCACTTCACGGGTAGGCAGGAGGCAGTAGTCTTCAGGATTCGGCCGCAGCACTCTGGAGGGAGCGCTGCAGGGAGTAGTAGTAGCCTTAGCCTTTAGTCTTCAGCGCTAGGTAGCTGTAGTCTCCAGCGCTGGGCGCCATAGCTAGGATAGAACTAGAGAGAGAGAGAGATTGGGAGGAGGCCCTGGGTACCTACCTGCAGCGTCGTTGCTCCACCTTCGTCTTCGAGGTACCTGCAGCACAGCGCCAACATCACAGGTTAGTATCTGGCTCGTAACAGAGAGAGAGAGTTCTTCTTCTTCCTCTTCTCAGTCCACCATC